CATTCAGAAAGACATACACCAAAGTGTTACTAGTGACTTTCTCTGGAAAGATAAAATTATGGATACTCTTTCTGTTTGTCTTTCAGTCTGTACTTACTGAGTTTTCTATCATGAGCACTGATTATTTGTGCAATAAACTTAAGTAAATCTATGTAAAAGGAAGATGTGGGATCTTTCTGTACCCTTTTTAAGCTTCTAATTCATTTTTAGCCAACATAATAACTGCTCTGCATGACTTTCCTTTTTCTGCACGGACACAAATGCTTAAAGATGCACAAGGAGTTGCAAATTGTCTCCTGGTGCACCAGCATTTCCAATACTGGAAGAAAACAGCGATTGTTAATGTTACCCTGTTTTCTGCTGAGCAAAGAATACACTGCCTTCCTGGCTAAGACGACTAGATTTTTATTTTGAGGTTCCCTTTTCTAACTCTTGAATTTGGTGTTTCTCTTGTTCTAACAGAACTTTCAAAACAGACACAACCCACTTGCACACATGCATATGTGCTTTTCTAAAATGTAGACTAGTAAGAAAATATCAGAAGATTTCTGCTTTCTACTACCATTATTTTCCCAAGGAAGAGTATAAAAGGAATCAGGTGCATACTGACCGTCTCACACAAAGATTACTGACACTGCTGAACCCCCACCATGAGGACATATGCTTCGTTTTGTATCCTCAGTAAAAGGGTGATGGGCTGCACTTAGCCATTCATACATTTTTTTTCCTACTGTAAAACATGTACAGAATGTTTCTAAACATTATTTAAAAAAACAAAACAACAGTGACTCAGTTGGAGATGCTTCCTATGTCTGGGTTAAGAGACCAAAGTGAATTCAACCGGGATTGAACCCATGACTCTGACCCCATTCACTCTCATCCATAACAACGACAGGATCATATGAGCATTTCTGAGACATTTTCTGCATCTCAGTTATTTTCTAGTTGATAAAAGTCAAGAATTTTCTCACATCTTTAGTCACATGCTCCTCCTGTTAAATCACCGCCTGTGCATGAACCTTCCTACTTTCAAAAGCACTCATAACCCCATCACCTCCATTTACAAAACACAAATAGTTTTTTCTCTCTACTTGTTAATGTTTAGAAATAATACCTTAGAAAGTTCTACTCCACAATGATTCCACTATATAATGAGGTTTTTTTTGTTTTGTTTTGTTTTTTGTGGAGGGCAGTGTCACTGGCCCTCACATGTGGGATCCGAACCGGGGCCCTCTGGCGTCCCAAGCCAGTTCTTAACCATTGTGCCACTAGGCCAGCCCTATAATGACTTTTTAAAACTATTACATGTACAATTTAATGAAAAAGTCTAAGTAAATAATAATGCATTAGCTTCCCAGGCATATTAATAAAAATAAACATAGTTCATTAAAACACACAGGTTACAAAATAAGCCAAACTAAAAAGGGATTTTTTTTTTTTTTTTGTATTTCCTCCCCATTACCCTTTCATGCATCGTCAATTAAAATCTTTCCTCTGGCAGGATCACACCAAGTGAACGAACAGGGAAGTAAATGGGACAAGATAGTCAAATTGTATAAAATACAGTGAAATCATAAAGCACTGCAGTTAGAGAGGAGGGCCTGGGGGGAATAAACATTGTGACTAGGCTCTCCTAAGACGCTGTATTCCTTGGAAAGTGGAAACCCTGGGAGAGGACTGTGTGCCTAGCACTCTTGGAGGGGTTCCTGACAAAGACCACACTGGAAGGGCCTCTTCCCCTTCATAGCCATTAAAACCCACTTCTCTTTCTTTGACAGATTCCCAAGGTGGTTCTTCTCCTGGAGGGCCCTCAGGGCACACAGAGTGTTGGAAAGTGGTGACAGCGCTCCCCTCTCGTCCCAGTTCTGCCCTGCAGTGACCTTTGGCAGGTCGCCCAACCGCTGACAGGCTGGATCTGATAACCACCATTCCAATCCCTCCCTCTGCTGTGTGGTACTGACCACCTGAGGACTCCAGGTGGGTGGGTCCACCTGTGAAGAAGGTAATGACCTGCCCTGGTGAGGACTAGCAGGTGAGGCTGTGCTTTCTTAGGTGGAGAGTCACTCACCGACCTTCCTTCCTCATCTGGGCTCTTGTTTCTTGTTTTGTGCCCTGTTTTATCCTGTAGCAGGGCCTCCACTTTGATCCCTCCAGCATTCCCTCAGGCAAAATCCTGAATACATTCTTGTCTGGAGCAAATGCCCCCGATTCCTTCCTAACGATTTTCTGTAGGAAGCCCTTGCAATGCATTTATTCCTAGGCACTTACTGTTATTAAACCCTTTTGACTGCTCTATCTCATTACTATACACTGCCCTGCACTTATTTAGTTCTTCAACTAAAGGATGGACACCCTTAGTGGCCATTAGCCTCCTCTGTTGACAATAGTAGATGGAAAACAAAACAAAAAATTTATAGGTCAAATCTAGCCTGTCACTTCTAGAAACAAGGGGCGTTAGAAGCTGCGTTATCACTTCTTATCCAGGAGGGTCCTTTGCTCACTACTTAACAGACGTGTAGAAAAACTGTATTGCAGAAGTACTCTCCAGGGCTGAGGGTCCTCTAGCCCAGGAGCTGGGCGAGTGGCAGGGAAGACTCTCTATCATGAGGCTGGACACAGCATGCTGTCCTGGCCTGGGGCCTTTGAACATGACTTAGAATCATAAGACTATATCCTCCATCCTGGGGTCCTTGCTACCCAAGCAATCTTGTTGTGATTTAACCATCTGGACAATGTGATTACAGGAGGAGAATGTACAGATGATCAAACTGCTTGTTATAAAGTAATAAACAGGCATAGAGGCTGGTGTGTTTGGTTAATGTGAACCTCCCAAGAGAGGGCACCCCTCCCTGTGTGCTCACCAATGAGGTTTCTGAGTCTGTACATCTGGGAGACTAGGTCCTGATGGCAGGGGAACCACATGGCCACCTCAAAAACCCCACGTGGACACCATGATGATTCATCAAAATAATGCCACCTAGTGAGGCCTAACAGAAGACAGCCTGGCAGTACGCTCAGGAGACCATGAGGAAACCGATCCTCTCTCACATTCTGACGTCCTGTGTTCATGCAGAGTTTACAGTTGATCTGAGAGGTGAAAGCTCACTTTGTAATAAACATTACTCACAGAGTGCACACCATTAGTGTTGTCAAGTTCTTAGAATCCATCCATCCTCTTGGGTTAAAAAAACAACAACAAAACAAGCCCCTTAAATCTAAAGTATGTTGTATACTTTATTCTTTGCATAAAGCTAAGCTTTCGTCCAGCCTGAATTATTGTACCATAATTTTTCATAAACCTTCACACCTGCATGGTGTCACAGTTTATACAGAACTTTCACATCTATTAATTCATCAAGGTGGGCATTACAGTCCTCGTTTACATTCGTAGAAACTGAGGCTGAGGCAGGTCCTGGAACTGCCAAATTCACAGAGTTAGTAAGTTGTAGAGCTGGGATCATGTCCACCTACTCTTCCGTGTTATATCATCTGAACTGTATATGATTTTCCACCTTGCTTCTCTAAAACACCGGAACATAATGAGTTAATTTTTTCTAGAAGTGTTTAACTTAAATATAGAAACAGCTAAGTTATCAGGCCTGGAATCACGTCATGTCATTCCCAGGGCTCGGATCTCTCCAATGCTGTAGCAACCTGACCACAGAATATTCAGGCCACAATTGGTAGGAGCAAAGTACGATCTCTCCCCTTCAAAAGAAGGCACACTCCCTAAAAACTCAACTGCAAGCCCATTTATGTTTTTCACCCTCACACAGGCTGAGAACCTCTGGGAGCCTGTGATGGGAGACAGGGAAGGGATTGTGCATATGGCCTTCGGGGCCAGGGAGACACGCCCTCGCCCTGGCCTGGCCTGTGCTTCGTTCTGGAAACGGGCCACTGTGTCTGCAGCTCTACGGTCAGATGACACATCAGGGCTTAGCAACCTCTCCCATGGCTAAATAATGCTCTTTGGGGATTTTCAGAGGCCAACTGCACAGGGAGAAGAGAAAGAAACAGATGAAATAGTGGGTAATCAGAAGTAGACAGCGGATGGGGTGAACGACACGAAGTATGGGAGGGCCAACAACCAAAAAGAGGTACGGATACGGAGAAAATCCTCCCTGTCCCTTAGAGCCACTGTTTAATACCATCAGCATTTCATAAGGTGTATTAATAGGTTTCCATTTAAAAAAAATATAGACAGGGGAGAGTATACAGAAGTAAAAAATCATATTCTCCCCAAATTCAAATAGTTAGAACATTTTGTAGAACTAGTATCTAGTAGGAAAGTTTGGAAACGCCACACCTAATCCCTCAAAGAGCCTACGGGAGTACCCCCAAACTCCTCAAGTGTCCCATTTCCACATTCCAGGGTTCCCTTGAACTTATCCATCAAACCAGATAGCCCGTGGTCAACATGCAGCCAGCCTCCTGAACCTGCTCATCCAGGGCTGCTTCCAAGGCACTGGCTCCAAGTACAAGTTCGGAGCAGCCACCCTCTGGTTGTACAAAGGCTGTGCCAGGGGCTCACCTAAGTCTAGCCGGAAGCAGGTTGGGTTCAAACAGCCCAATGGTGACGTGTGGCCTGCTAGAGGGATTTATAAAAATATAGACCTGTGAGGGTAAACACTTGAAAATTTTAAAGATCACAGTTTTCATTTGTCATCTCTGCATCTTCCATTTGTTGCTGGTGGCTTTGGGGGCAAGCTGTTAACCTTGGTACTACATCTGCCTGTTTCCAACATGGCTCTCCTTGTGTCTTTCCCACTTCTCCCCCTGCACCTTATTTCTGATCCTATAATGGCCCCCAAATGTTACTGCCTGTCACTGGTCCTGGGCCAGCACACAGAGGTATCCCACCACATCCCATGCCACAACTAAGCTTTCCAGCTCTGGCTACAGGAGGGTGCTGGGGAAGCCGTGACAAGGAAGAGAAGGGTGTTGGGGTCCCGATCTTCACAGGAAACAAGGCCCTCCCTGCCAGTTGGCCCAGCACCTACCTGACACTCCACATTGCAGTAAAATGCCTGCTTGCATCTTCCACATTTGGACAATCCTTCTTTCCTTAAAAACAGAAAGGGCACTGTAGTGGGGAGAGGCACAGAAACGGGAAGCTGCACATTTTATCATGCAATAACCAGCGCCATCTGGTCAGAAAGCAGAGCCAAGATTCACCTTACCTTCCTCTCCCACTGATCAGTGGCATTTTCCCAAAGGAGACTTTGACCAGATTCAGTCCTTGAGTGGGAATGAGTTAGTCAAATCATACACGGGCCGACATTTACAAACCCTGACAGCGTGAAGGGCACTTCCCAGAGATGAGTGACATGCTCTTTGACTCATGAGCCTGGCTTGGGACACCACAGCTGTTAACATCACCCACTCTATCCCTCAGTAGTTTGCGGCAAATCAAAGGCTCTTAGGTCCTGATTTCCTCCCCTGTTAATGGGGGATAGAAATAAACCAAACCATTCTGGAAGTTTGACATCATAAAGGCAGAGGACTAGGGTACACCTACATGGTGACAATGCAATGTGAGTGACAGCTTGATTATTTAGGGACGCAAGAAATGCTGAAGACAGAATTTAGGATGTCAGTGATTCGAATGTCCAGAAAGGTAAGTTGAATAATGCAACCCAGCAAGCGCGGTCATAGTCTTGAATAAAATATAACTGATGTGATTCGGATACACACCCATCCTGTGAGTGTGCTACTAATGATTCTTCTTCCTCTTCGTAATTAGGTCAATACTCCCTATGTGTGGCCATATTATTTGCTTCCCATAAAGGACAGGGATAGCGACATTTTCCAACTGTTAGGTGTGAGTGTTGTTTGCTGTGTTAGACGCGCCAAAGCTTTTTAAAGTACTATGAAGTCACTGAATTAAACCACACCCAACAGAATTCTTAAAAACTGCTTTGAGGTAGGGAACACCACATCGATTTTATCAGACCATTATCTGTAAAGCCTACGGTCTAATTCTCACCCACCGCACTTTCTGACCCATAGAAATGACAGTGCCACAAGGGGCATTCTGCAGCTGCCAGGGGTGCTGGATGCCAGCGCAGTCACCTCATGGCCACCCCTCCTGGAGCACGCCCAGGGGAGCTGGTATTTTAGAATTTGCATAGAATCACGCCGCTGAGTCCTCCTCTGCTCCTTGTCAGCCAGTGGTAGTCACCACTCTCCTCCCACGGAATCCAGAAAGTGTGCCAAAAATGCTAGTGTTGGAACGAAACAGGCTGCCTTGTCATTTTCATGACAGCGCTTGGATTACCAGAAGCTGCCTGAAGAATGTGTGGGAGCAAAACACATCTTGCGCTTGAAGCATAAATAAATATTCCAAGTTTGCACATCTCCAAAGGAACCCACAGACTTAGCTGAGTGTATTCTCTGGCTTGAAATACCCTCGAGGGTGCATCTCAAGGGCTCCACACTCCCACTTTGCATTTCAGACTGTAAAAGAAATGAAACACATGGTCCCTGCTCTCCTGCACTTCCTAGCTAGGGAAACGGGATGGAAGGTATGTTCAAAAACAACTGTGAAGCGACGTGTAGGCAAGTGCTAAATGATGTGGACCACGCAAAAATGCCTTCCAACATGAGGTGTGTTCGCAAATGGATAATGGGAGGATAGCTGCCGCCCTATAAAAAGGTCCACCTGAAACTGTCATTGTGAATGTTTGTTTTTGCAGGAGGAGAGGTCATAGACCTCTTTGGGAACTTGACTGAATCTATTTGCTCTCCCCAACAACCCACCTTCTCCCCCGACCCAGAAAACAAGAGAAAATTCTGTAAAATTTCAAGGGCTCATGAGCTCCAAGCCCATACTCAGACCATTGAAGAGCCTTGGAAACCAGAGTGAAGACACCCAGATATAAAAGGTTAGGAAATTATCACAAAAATATCATTACTAGCTCTATCCCACACACAAAAAGCAAGGATTATACAGGTCTTTCTGCACAAACACCAGCAGTCAAGTTAATATGAAATAAGGCTTGTTTTCAGCTTCCAAGAGAGAAAAAGCAATTGGGCTTTGGTGAGCGAGAGAGGAAATCTAGTGGTATTTCATTAAAATAATAAACCTCCCAAAGGCCCAGCTTCATTCAACCCAGCCGGTCACCACGTCCACAAGCCACAAACAATGAAGAACAGGAGGAAAATGGTAACTTTTAAGTGCTGGCAATATGTGACATCATTTCTACTATGGATTCCAATAGTTCTCAAGTTGTGGTCTGTAGACTGCTGGAGTCCCGGAAGCCCTTTCAAGGAGCTGGTGAGGTCAACACTATTTTTAAAATAATACCACTGTCTTGACATTTGCGCTGCAGAGGTGTGAGGTGTAAAGGCGCCCAGAGGGGAAAACTTCCAGTGTCTTAGTACAGACCCAGTCGGTGACACCAAGCTGTTGCAATGGCCACTGTGTTCTCCACTTTCATACGCTCATAGGAAAGGGGAAAAGGCCAGTTTGACTTAATGTCCCTGATGAAGCACTAACAAACATTAATTTTATTATCTCGGCTCTTCGGTATGTAGTATGGTTTTGTGTTGTGATGAAACGGGAAGAATGCACAGATCCGCTCCATACTGACCTGTGATGGCGGCCTCAAGGAGAAGCACCTGGACGTCCCCGGAGGTGGGAGCTGAACCAGCCACTTTTTTCTTGGAATACCATTTTTTACTTGAAAGAACAACTTAAGGCAAACTGTGGTTACGCGGTTTGAAGCGAGCCCATCACGTCAAGGAAAACAGCTGGCAATATTTGCTGCCACTGATTAAAAATTGGGCTTTCAAGCAAAAATTAGAGCTTTGGAAAACACATATCTGCCATCTCCTGAGCTTGACAGTATCGCATCGGATGAGACTGGTAGTGATATGAATACATGTGAGTGTCTGGATATGGTTTGATGAAATGAGTCAACTTTTAGAAGGTCTGTCTAATTTAGTGAACCCGTGTTTTCTAAATGACCAGTGTGTATGAGGTTTTTAAAATTATGCAGGGCTAAAAGAGTCATTCAAAGGGCAAGATAGACCAGGGGATTTTAATACATAAGGTTTACAGGGATGGCTTCAGGTTACACATTACAAGTAACCTTAAAACAGTATCACTTATCAAGTTTTAGTAATGAATCAAAGAATATTGACAATGAACTGAAAAGGCTACTAAAACACTCCTCCCTTTCCAATTACACATCCAACTGAGGCCGGATTTGCTCCACATACTTCAATCAAAACTCCGTAATGTCCCAGACTGAATCCAGAAGCAAATTCGAGCATCCTGTTGTCTTCTGGAAATCCAGACATGAAAGAGATTTGCAGAACTGTAAAGCAATACCACTATTCTCAGTACTTCTTTCGTTTTGGAAGATAGTTCTCATTTAAAAAAAATGTCCTGTTAACAGTAATGGTGGTTGTCATTTTAAAATGAATACTTTATAATTTTGTCTGTTTTAAATCCAAACACGGTAAACGCTGATAAATGTATAACCCAGAACGACAACTGCTCTTTGGCGCTCTCAATTCTTAAGAGTATGGAGGGGTCTAAGACCCAAAAGTTTGAAAACTGCTGATCTATCTTAATAATTTCATCAGCTCTATGAAGGAGTTATTATTTCTATTTTTTCCAATGGAGATAATGAGGATCCTAGAGGTGAAATACACTCATTCACAAGTTGGCAGCACAACCAGAATTCAATTTTGTCTTCATCATGCACGCATACCCTTCCTTGAGGACTGGGACAGTTATCCAGGAGCATATACCACAGGCAGCAAAACCAATCTGTGTCGGGAAAGGCTAGTAGCAGTAACAAAGTGTAAGTAAAGGCCTTCTTTCCTCTGGTCTGCATGATGTCCCAGCTCCAGGGCGTCCCCCTCAATGCTCCTTTCCTTCAAAGATGCAAAGGGGAGGACCCCACGGTCAGTTTTCAAAATGAGATTTGGGAAGGGAGTACCTCCACAGAGAGGGTCTCCCAACGAACTGTGGCACAGGAATCGATTTCACTTGACATGGGTTGGAATCAAATAAGGATTGATTTTTGTATTGAGTCTGTGCAAAGCGGGTCCCTCCCTCTCATGCAGTGTGGTAAATCGAAGTGTTCCTTAGACAGACACTGGACAAGTCCACGCAGTATCCTGTTCTCTGTGAGCCGGGTAACAGGACGCTGCTGCTCTCAGGCTGGCTTCACGGTGTGCAATAGAGTCAACTACCTGGTTATATGTGAATGTCCGTAACATACATCCTCCTGAGCCAGGCTGCCTTCAGAGGAGAGGAGAAAAGCTAACCCAGTTGCAGATAGTTAACAGCTTAAGAATCTAACTTTCGTCAACTTTGTTTGTAAGCAATTCTAGATGAAGTGGGGTGGGGTGGGGGAGGGCACTCTGTTGAAATTACCCAGATGCGTGCTTCCGTTCTTTCCATAGCTCGGGAGACATGGAAACTTTTCCTAAGTCTAACAGTTGCAACTCCAACTAACATGTGCTGAGCGGGTACCTGCCGTCCTGTGTAAGAGCTGAAGTGAGAACAGGGAGAGAGAGAGGGCCTGTGAGTGTTTGACGACTGCTGACTGAGAAGTTTGGCTAGGAAGAAACCCCATAGGGGGATATCCGTTTTCACTGCAGGAGTACACAAGGCATTTGGAATAAACTCTGTTCCTACAGAAGACACAGCCGTAAATCTTTCATTTGCAACGTAACATGATCGGAATTGTGCGGGAGGTTTGGGGGGAAATACTGCAAAACAAAGAAAACAAAATTCCCCTCAAAGAAAGATTCAGAAAGGTCACTTGGAGGAATGGACTGAAATATGAAATAACTCAAAGGAAGTGAAGGGTGAATCACTAATAACTGCTCAGAGTATCTCAGCCTCAGCTGGACGCGCCCTTCTGGGCCTGGGCTAGGGCCCAGCCATTCTCCTTTGATGGGTCTGTGTGGGGATGTTTTAGAAAGCTGCCCAGGAGACTCTGATGTGTTTCCAGAATGCCCAGCCTATGGCGAGCCATTCAGGTTGAGTGGTTTTTGTATAAGGGCAGAATTTTGCTGAAGAGTGTTGAAGCATTCTTCTCTGC